AAATATTGATTTGTTTCTGTACAAGTAAAATGTTGTCACATAATAACATTCCGTGGATATCCTTGATATGGTTTAAATACTAACAGTGCATTCTTAGGTAAATTGAGTTACAGTTAACTATAATTAGTCTGGAACTTAATAGTACAACTCACATGGAGATCAAACCCCACGATTAATGAGACGTCGGCCGATATCAGTGAAATTGAACTCCAATAATATAACTCGAACAATATGAATGAATTGCTTACTGAAAGAATGATAAAAACTAGTATTTTTAAAGCCGTTTGGTGAAAGCCATTTTAACTCCTAGAACTATGTCCAAAAACCTCCCATTTCACCTGTTAATCATTGCTAGCCAGTGTAGATCTAAATCTGATTCTTCATCATCAGAAGTTGATACAAGGGTCGTTACGCTTGATTTTTGTTTCTTGAAATATGACCAGGTTGGAGGGTCCACATGTCTATGTGTTTTCCATTGTGTGGACTTGTTTATGTTTTCGGCACTATATAAAATAAGTTAAGAAACAGCAGGAGTAACCTAGTCAAAGTAGACAACTGACGATAGTCAAACAAGACCCCTGATGTCTGAGGCCTACACAAACCATCTCGCTAGCACACAAGTATAAACATGAAATCAACTGTTTCTCCCTCCTCCCTATCAAGCTCACCGCTCGCCTTGAATACTTTTGAGACAAAGTTGTGATGAAAAACTATTATTTTGAAATGAGTATAAACAAGACCATTAATCATTCATAATGTATTAAATTTAGGCAGGAGCACAATTCTGCACATTTAAATCTGAATATGAGTCGAAGATTGGTGTAGAAAGAGAGTGAGATTGATTTTTTTATAATTTGAAACCAGAGCTAAGATTTACCACACATTTTAGGTTCAAGCTTAACAGATAAATAACACAAATTTAACACATGACCTTATATATTGGGCAAGGCCTGAAATCTGCAGACTTGTAATTTCAATTGTATTTTCTTAACTACGTAATCTGAAATCAATAACTTCTTTAGAATCAAATTTAAAGTAAAAATATTATATTTGTTATTATATCTGTAATTACCTAGCCTATGATGAAATTTCAACTTATAACTTGATTCTAGAAACGTTATCAGGGTTAGATTGCTAAGGTAAGAAAATATTATCATTATACAAGCAAACTAAGGCTGAGCAACATGGATTAAATTACCATTTTAATCAAAACATTTGGTTTTCACTTATTTTAACTTTCCAAGACAAGTAAAATAACTTCTTTATCAACATTGAAGTATGTTATTTTATCCACAGATATACATTTTATTCGCAGATTGCAAATACAAAACATCTAAAAACACCTTAAAGACAAATTCTGAAGAGTAGTATTGTTTACAGTTTTTAAATAAGGGTAGCATATTACATTGAACATTTGTTTTTTGTGTTTTTGGCTTTACAGTAGACTCCCTCTTATCCGGACTCCTTGGGACAAAGGCTAATCCGGATAACGGTTTTTCCGGTTTAACCAACGTCCCCAAAAACTCGTTAAAACTGACCGTTTAAATGCGTAATGTATGGTGCATTTGACTTAAATTTAGGAGACCATTGTATTTAGACACGTGATCACTGGTCTCAAATCTTTCCCTTTAAGAACAGTTGTTTCAGTACTACCCACTTCCTGCCGATCTAGTCCGGTTAAAGAGATGTCATTTCCATCGAGTGTAGTCCGGTTAAACCGATGTCCCGTTTAAAGGTGTCCGGATAAGAGGGAGTCTACTGTATAATACTTTTCACACCAGAGAGTACCACTTGTCGTTAGGAGTTATACATGGCCACTGAGATTATTTAAATATAGTAATTTAAATTTGGAAGAATTGATTATACCTTAATAGATTTTATCAGTTGACTTTAAAATATTTGGAATATTACAGATCTTAAACATTTATTTTACTAAAACATAAAAAAAAGGAACAGATGCAGAAATTGCTTAAGAAAAAAGTTCCAGGCAGTCTAGTAAACCAAAAGGGTAACAACACACTTATCTTGTAGTGGGAATGAAGCGTAAGCTATCTTAAAGGGTGAAGTATTAATAATCAATGTGTTGTGCCTGTTGAGTCTACTATCAACTTCCTAGAACTCTTTTTTTAAGTTAGGCCTATATCTTTACTCAGGTCTAGTTTAAGTAGCCTAGCTGACCGAAAGGAAAAACAGGACAATGGCAGGGCCCAACCTGCGAGTAAATCCCATTAGTCAAGTCTTCCTGAATAAAACTCTTAAAAGTGAAAATGCTATCAATTATTTTAAAATATTGTTTTATTTTAATAGTTATCTTAGAAAAAAAACAAGGTAACAAATTAATAATATTTTCAAATTATTGGTTACATTTTCATTTTTAAGAGATGTATTCAGGAACGCTTGTGTATTGGGATTTTCTTGAAGGGTGGGCCCTGCAATGGTCCTGTTCTACTCTTTGGTTAGGTAGCCCGCTTCAACTTGACCTGAGTCAGGATATACTTTTGACCTGTTCCTTCTTTCCTGATGTAAACGTACAATATCAGTGGCATGTATAACCTTGTGTATGTTCTGTCTGTTGATTTATGCCCTGTAATTCCTGTGCTGTACAGGGCTTTACAAAGGACGCGCAGAAGCGACACACCTCTCCTTGTAAAGCCCCGTACATCGCAGTGGTGGCTGGTGGTGGTGTGGTGGTCTGATGGTGTGCTGGTGTGCAGGTCTACGTAAGGTGTTCACCTGTTTGGCGTGTGGAAAGGTGTTGTGCTCCAAAGCGAGTCTAAAGCGCCACGTGGCTGACAAACACGCCTCACGCCACGAGGAGTACCGATGCGCCATCTGCGAGCGAGTTTACTGCTCGCGCAACTCGCTAATGACGCACATCTACACGTACCACAAGCCTAAGCCATCAGACCACCTTCATCACCACTCCGCTGCCGCCACTGCTGCCGCGGCCTTCACCGATATTATGTACAACCCTGATATAAAGCCCCAGGTATGCCTAGGTTTATCAAATCAAAATGGTTCTCTAGTGCTTCTCAGTAACTTTCACAATTACTCACGTCATGATAGTTTACTGACGAGTACAGTTCTAAATACACATGAGAATACTTCAAATAAACCATTGAGAGACTCAAATATGAAAATAAATCAATATAAAGACTCATCGATTTCAGGATATTGAAGTAGTCAACCCATCAATATGGACCAGCTGCCTCCTATTTTCTATTTAAAAATAACACAAATGAATGAAATGAACCACTCACAGTTTGCGCTAAAGACTAACATTACTTTTTCTACCATAGGTTTTGTTACTATGATAGTTACTATGATGATTAATAGTTAATGTGACATAAAAAAAAATGCTGCAACTAACAACAAATCATTCCGTCAGTTTGACTTATTTATAAAGTTGACGTTTTGCATTGAAATCAGTAATTTTCCATCAACTCGGGCTTTTGCTGGCTCGATTCAATTACATACATTTGCATTATAAAACTGGTGACAAATTTTTTAATATTGTATAGTTCTGTAAATTTCTAGGTAAAGTCACCTTTTTCCATGAATATGAGAAAAATACGTTTATATATCCCAAAGACCATTTTAAAATATTTTTCATCATACTATCCGGAAAGCAGCCGTTTTTAGTTCTCTAAATCGTCAGCAAAATCATAGTTTTCAGGTAACTTCAAATAGGGAACAGAAAAAACATATAGTAAAATTTTCGGTTCGCTAACCTCAAAATTTTATCAGTGAATTATGGAAACGCTACTAACCACTTAATATTAAAAAAGTAATGTTTGTAAACAACAGTAACATAAACATTTATGAAGTTTTTTATAACTTCAAAAATTGTATAATGATTAGAAGCTTATTTCCACAGTATGATGAAAATAGTTGTTCATCACACGGAGCAAAAGTGTCCTTTTTGGTACTCAATCGGTAAAACACATTTGCGTATGAAAAAGAGTCACTTTTGCTCCTCAAGATGACTACTATTTTTCTGATCATGCAGTACTTGGCTTTCACAATGGATAAATACACAATATTCAATCAGAATCAATTAGTTTTTGAAGACAGATATACTTTTAACTGTTTGCCTTTTTAAGCTGAATACAAGTGCAGGATAAATGTAGAAGAATGAAGTGATATGACTCCTTGTTACTGACAAAGAGCAGCTTCCTGACTAGGAATGGAGAATACTGGTTATTAGGGAATATGCATTTGATAATTAATTTTAATTAAACTTTTTTTACCTGCCAAACTACAATTAATGTATACAATCTTCTAGTTAACTCAAATTTAAAATGAACTAAAACACAGTGTTCTGTACTATTTAAAATTGTGTTTGTGTGGTTAATTATAAACCAGGTAACTTTGTTAAGTCTTGAAAAAAACTACAAATAATTTTTCATCTGGATGGACTACCATAAAAAATCTTGGTGTGGACTTTGGACTTAACTAATTATTAATATATTTTCATTTTCATTTTCTGTAAAGTTGGCATTGAATCAATAGCACAAAGGAAAAGTTCAACAGATTTGACAAAACTTTTAGGAAGTTGGCTTTGTAGCTTATTAAATTTGATTTGGGTAGTTAGCAAATGCACAATGTTGCGTAGTTATTGCGAAGATTAGTGTGAATAATAGAGATGACAGCTTTGTTCTAAGATCATTATTTTAGTTAGGATCATTAAATGAAGCCCAATGGATCAAGTAGAGCTGGGTTCATATTCAAACCATCAAAAAGCTTGGTATAGTTCCGCCGTATAGAAAACGACCTGCGTGCTAATGCTAAACCAATGCTAGAAGGAGGTCGCTTTCTAAGCGGCCGAACTATAGTTACTTTTTTTCTAGATCAATCTGGCAACCTTCTGAATACTAGGTGATCTCATTATCCAATTAGTTACTTGACATAAAAATATAAGATCTTCAGTGTTGACCACAAGTAAAACAATCAAAATGAGGTAAAAAACCCGATTTTTAGTTTCATATTTCTTGTTACAGGGATGGTGATGCCACCGCCCATGATTGGAGGGATAAACGAACCCCAAGACTGCCCCTACTGTCGCCGCACCTTCAGTTGCTACTACTCCCTTAAACGTCACTTCCAGGATAAACACGAGCAGTCGGACACACTTTACGTGTGTGAGTTCTGCCACCGTCGTTACCGCACCAAAAACAGTCTGACCACGCACAAGAGTCTTCAGCACCGCGGTACGTCCGGCATGCTCAAGCGACTGCTCAAAACATCGGCTTTCTTCGGCCATCCGCCCTTCTAACTACACGATAACGCCCGACTCATGTTGTAGGGGCTGAGATGCCTGTGATACTGCTGTCTGCTCGGCTGAAAATGTTCTAAAATCTTAGCAAAAATTACAAATCTTATCGAAATGGTATGGATAGAGGTGTAATAGTAACTCAGTTGAATATATTTCACACAAGTAAAGAAGAACATTTCTTAAATTCAATTTTTAACGCTCACAGATAATGTTTGGACAATTTTGAGCGGATTGATGCATACATGTAACAGCTGAGCGATATTATTCAACCGGCAGTAAAGAATCTTGCCCTATAATGTTTAATCTTGAGAAATCTTGATGTTATAGAATTGGTATTTTTATAGACATTCCCAACAACAGTGAGTGAGGTAATCAATAATTGTGGTTGTCATTCTGCATCATAATATTTTCAAGTTTTCAAGTACAGTAATCAAAGAAAAAATTCAGATTTTTCTCCCAGATGTTGGTTGTTTTTATTGGATAAACAGTCATTACAATCTGGGCAGCGTATTATGATGCATTTTGCAAAAATCCACTGTCATATTTTTTTACTGAACCGAGAGACAATTTTTATAGTTTTCAACTTAGCTCTGCATTTGTTCTCTGATTGCGGTTTCTACAGTACTTAATTTACTAGTAGGTAACGCATTTCTTGAACTATCTAGGTGAATGTGTTTGTTAGAAAGATAAATAAATAATGGCACGATATATGCATTAATAAGCTAATAATGGTTTTTCAAATATCAGTACTGGTATTTTTATATTAATCAAATAAAGGTTCCTTTGGTGTCGCATATTTACAAGACATTTTTATAACCAATATAAAGTGATTTGACATGTTATAACATATAACCTTTTCTAACATATTGTTCTGAGGCTACTGCTAAGTCTCCACTCGTAAACTATACAGCCAATATGTCGAAGTAGTTGTGTGCCAACATAAACACTTCTTCCACCTCACCTCGAATCAATATTTTATACATTTTTTGACCTAATTATTACGACATTAGTACGATATTGTCAGTTAGTAAGCAGTTAACAGTCAGCAGTTTCACAGGTACAGTCAGTCCCAAAACATGATTTTTGGGCCATACGCATGTTAAAACGTACATAGATTGTGATATGGTACATTACACTTTATAGAAAACTTTTGTGATATTTTTGTATTTTATTATTAAATATGTTATTTGAATGTTTTTATAGGTTATAAAATTTTGATAGCTTTACCATTCCAGTTTAGTTTTTTTTAGCCTTACAGAAATCTATAAATTTGAAAGGTTTGATTTTTAAATACCGGTACCTCATTATCTTTATAGTAAAAGTGTATTGTACTGTATCCCTCTCTAACAACATAAGAAATAAAATCCACAGATGTAAAATTTGTCAAATCTAGTCCTTATCGAACATTAAACTAAATTGTATGGAAATGTTTAGAATTTAATTTGCATTTAAAATGTGATTTATTTATTAAAAACTGGTATTTTATTAAATTTTATTTTGTTAATGTGATTTATCGTAAGTTAGGTGGCTCCAAGTGGTGCTAGAGTTTTGCACCTCTCGATCAAACCCATTGTTCAGAATTGTGCATTTTGTAGTAGTTTCACATTACATGTATCATGAATTACTTTCCACATTAGCCTCAACAATACAATTGATTTGTATACTGTATTTCATATTGGCTTTCATTCATAAAACAAGAAACCTGTATATTATTAGGTAATTTATAACGATTATATTAGGTACGGTACATATTTTACCCAACTAAGTCTGTGTACATTTCAGCACTAACACTCTTAAGCCATTCATTTCTGTGGGACAGCACAATACAATCCAATATAAGATGCCTGACGCACAGTTGCGCACTGCTAGCAGTGTGTAGGTTGTGCTTGTGTACAATAACACTGTAATTCTAGGTACAATCAGCTAGATAATAAGCTAGATCATCAGCGTTTTGATCACAGTGTCTTGATCACCTCCAGTACAACTTTAGCGTCCTTTTGTGCGTTTTTAAAACCTTTGCCTGTCTCGGTGTTTTGGCATATATATATATATGTTTTGAAACAGAAAGATTCTATATTTATGTACGATTCTTGAGAGCTTCCAAGACAAATTTTCTTACTGTCAATTTTCAGGTCCGTTTGACAGTTTCCGTAACGAGAAATTTATAATAGGACAAAGCGTTCTGAAGGGGTTCACTGTAAATACTCTAGCCTATCACTGTAGTTTATGTCGATAGATGATTTTTCAAAATCGAGTCGAGTTTCTGGTTTTCATTTTTTATTGTGATTATATATACCTGTGATTACTATTCGTTATGTTAAGTTACTCGGTGTTGGCATTTCCCCGACGGTTGTACGAGTGGTTGGCAAGGTAGGGTGAGGGGCGAGCGACAGTAGAGGCGCTACATTACACTACATTGACTCGCCTCATAACTGTATTATGTGACTTGGCCTTCCATTCTTCTATTTCTCTTTGATTTTACATATTTAAATGTCTGCCATAGTTTGTACACATCCTCCAAGTTCAGTTTTCTGTTCCTAACTTCAACAGTAAGGTCCCCACTACTTAACCCGAGTTTATTTATAGCTTTAGGTCAACAGTTCTACAGAATGTTTAGTAATGAACTGTTTTCACATTTTCTAAGTTTGTTGTTTTGCCATATCTCAACCGTTATGATTGTAATTGACCGTTTATACGGATGAAAATGTGGTCTACACAACAGATCATTCCTATCCCCTCTATGGAAGTGTTGATCTTTAATTGTTAAGTTATTGATTTTTTTAAAGTTTCTGTGATTTTACTAAATTAAATTATTATATTTAAAATTAAGTTATGTTCCTTGTTGTACATAGCATAGTTAGTTATATGTTTATTGGCCAAGTCATTGTGTGTACAGCTGTAAGAAGTATGATGTTTAATGATACATATCCTATTCTCCTGAATGTGCCAAGTTTGTAAATAGGGTTTGCCGTTAAGGTTCGGCTCCGTTTTCAGTGTTGTCGGTCACTCATCGTCTGTTAGGAGTCGTAAGTCGCATCCAAGATGCGAGGCTCTCGTAGTTTAGTATCTAATTTTTATCCACCCGAGCTTTCCACGATTGAATTTTTTCCACATTTTGGCAAGAATAGGCCTATTTATAGAAATATATATTTTTCTGGCTAGTTAAAAAATTAGTGTTTGGCTCAACTAATAGGTCTATTTTTGAATTCTCCTTTTATAGATGCTGGTAGTTGAGTAAAAATTAGTCATTAACAAAATTACAAAGTGCACTGCACTTAAAATTCAAAATTCAATCACTACTGCAGTTCAGAAGTATTTCACTTAAAATTCAATCGAGGAAATCTTCTATTTTATAAATTATACTAAAATTTCTTCCAGTAAGTAAGTGGTAAGCCTAGTTAAAATTTTCTAATATTTTGATTATCGTGTGCTGTGGTATGCATAAGTTTCATCTAGTATTAAAATTATTTTTTAGTACCGATCTAAATCAAACAAGTACAAATGACTGAATGTTTTTAGACTGTGTTTTTAGAACAACAATCGCTAGAATATGTTCTCAATGGAACAGATCAAGTGTATTTATGTCATTTGTATGAGTCCGTAGCATGTCCGTAGTTGCTAACTTTGGACGAAACATTTCTACTTTATCCTGTTTCACTATAGACTTAATATTTCCTTGCTAGGCCAAACAACAGTTACGTTTAACACAAAAACTACTTATGGTTTTAATTTATAAAGCTTTATTTGGTAAGTAGTTACTGTAGTTTATTTTTCATATTCTCCATTCACTTAATTTTCAAACTGAAGTATCCGTCCGAGGTTAGCAAACATTTCTTATCTCAGTGTTCCCACTCTCCTCTTATCTTTTCTCTTATCAGTACAGAGCTGCCGACATTGCAATCGACTCCCCCACCCCGCAATTGCAGTACAGACGATATTTGCCAGCATGTATAAAAAATATTGCGCTACATCCAATACGTCTGCCTGTTATTGTTGATTTTTATACAATATTTTATGCTGTTACAATATATTATATACACGGATAAGGACCAATAGATATATATTTATACAAGTAGATTTTTATTTTCCGTCACTGCAACGCAATAGTACAAACGCTTATTTTTTGTACAATGATGGCAAATAAGTACCGGTATATAATAATAGACAAGACGAGTTTATATAATAGGCGCATTATCTATATCAGAGTCTAGAAATGTTACTTTGGTTCTCTCGTTACTATAGTTTAGCGATCATACTGGAGTCGGGGGACGTAGGTTATATTACAGTTGTTATTCGTCCTCTGACGCCCGGTCGGTGGCATAAGTCTTATTAGCAGGTTTATTTGTCAGTTTTTGCTGTTTTCATATCAACGCCGATGTTATTTTCTTACACCGAACACAGATAACATGTTGTTACGTTTGTTGGTCCGTAATTTTACAATAGAACAAGTTACAATAGAGAAATAGACAGATACATATTTTATAGCCATTTTTATCAACCGGTTTCCATTAAAGCAGTTGTTGACAATGATATTTATTTTGTGTACTTAGCTGTACAGTATCAGCCAGTTGCTTCTGGCATTATCACAGTAGGGTCACATAGTAGTTATAGGGTCGAGGGTTTTTTGGGTATAACGCTTTTTTTATCGAGTCTATACAACCTTGCCTGTTTATTTAGTGTTTACTGTAATATAGCGTAAGATTTTTGGACGGCTAAGCGGCGTGATTGGGGAGTAAATGTAATATCAACGTTGCCTAGTTGTTTACAAATCTGTGTATTGTAGCGGTCGCCCCTGTTGATGCACGGGGACCGTTTTATCACAAAAGGCACGGGAAATATCTTCTCTCATTAATAACTTGTAGTTTTATCAATATAATATTGTAAAATAATAACCACAATTAGTTGTAATGTTGAGTGAAGGTGGACAGGCGACGAGATGAAACGAATTTGCGAATTTATTTAACAATATTCATTTACGATTATCATGGAAAGTTTCCTACTGGATAGGAATTCAATAAAACTGCAACTGGCTTGTTAAAATTTGTAATAGCCTAGTAAGTGCTGTGAAACTGAAGACTGAAACTTCATCATGTCTGTCCATCTGTCACAGTTATAAGTACATTTCCAATGTATTCCAAGACTGTTTTGATTGGATATTGCTTTAAAATTTTTATTGTTTTTGTTGTTTGTATTATTCTGTATACAATTAATTTATTTTTGCCTCCAAGGCAACTTTGTTAGTTTAGATAAGTTGTAACTCTTAGCATAAAAATACTTTTAAACTATAGTTTATTTTATTATTTTAAGTTAAGCATTGTTTTTCCTTTGATAGTAAGTAATCATTTAAAAAATAATAGACACGTAAGGCATTATTTACAGTTGAAAATACTTACAGTTTCTTATAGGTTACCTCTACCTCAGATTACTCAGGGATTTGTTGTAACTTCTCAGGTATAATTCTCAGGTATTTTATTTTTTATTTTTACTATATTATAACATATTAATTATTTGTTAATTTTAGAATCTTAAGTTCTCAGGGATTTTTAATTATTATAGTGAAGCATTTTCCTATTGGAAATAATGATATTAACGATGATTTGTATGTATACCTCGATAGTAATATATTCTTATATCAGCTCTGTACGATGAAATGTTGGACTCACACGTCTGGGCTTTGCTTCTCTAAAGTTGAACATTGAACATGATCTTAATACAAATAATAATTTATTTATAACTTCTAATTGATGTAATTGTAATGGAAATAAAAAATACTCAATTATAGTTTTGTTACAATACAATGATTTTCTTGAAATGTCGGTAATATCTTAGAGCAACTTTAGATCATATTTTGTTATTAAAATTGTTTGAGATACTAGACTCATCTTTCCATTATCTATTGAAAAATATAGCCATTGACAAGCAAAACAATGATGATTATTATAAAAGTAGTCTCATAATGTCACTGAAAAAAAGCCCAGGGAAATGATCCAAGATATTCCCGTGCCTCGTTCAGCTGCCTTCATAATAAGTACAAATCAAAACTAAGCTACATTCAGTAGTTTAAACACACCCCGGTAAATGGTTATTTGTTTACAGACTTTATACATGTTTTTGTTACAATAGATCGGCTTGTTTACAGACGATAAACATAGTGCTCATAGACATAAGATAGGATAAGTTTTCAAAGTGTTCACCTTTACATAGCCCTCTTTGTTTTCGCCTTTATATTATTTTCTGGTGTAAGCGGATCTAGTTACAAATTTTGTCTTGCATGTCCATTGCTCTTACATGGTTTCTAATTATTGTTGATAGATTCAAATATGCCATTTAATTTTTTTCAATTTTCCTATTTTGTTTTGTTATTGTTTTTGTTATTGCATGGTTTACAAACATTTCAATGATTGATTAAATCTTGTTGTGCCTTGTCATTGTTAAAACTACTTTTGTTTTATTTAAATATTTTTTCACTTTGTGACTGGTCCGTCTTGCCCTGCTGGAGAAATTCAAAACTGCGCTTTTATTCTGTTCTGATAAAAATTCAAAATGTACGTACTTCAGATATATATTCAGGAGTCCTGTGTAGTTTCACTTTTGGTCAGTTTAAGTGTTTGTGTGATGTGGGCCTAGATTAGCTCCGATGAATGTGGTTGCATATCATTTCGGCCGTTTCCTTATTGTAACATTTGATGGTAATTAAAAAACATTCAGTTCACTATCATGTGTTTTATTTTATTCCACCACGGTTCAGTGTTTAAATTTAAATTTAGTTTTAGTTTTAACCCTTTGAACTCAAAGGGACAATAGGTTGGACACAAGAATATAGCCAAACTTCCACTTACAACTATCTCAACCAGAACAACCTGACATGTGCTGCGTCCTGGGAGTAAACTTTTAACTACTAGGTTTGGGCTTTGTGTTGAACATTGTTGTTAGTTTGATTTATGACAGACAGTCTAAGGTATTTTGTCTCAGGTCATTAGGCGACACTGTATATTAAAGGTTGTCACAGTCTGTCATGTCTGTCGCATAAAACAAACAACATAACCTAAATGACTCAGGTGGAAGAGTAAGCGGTACAGGGTGGATTCTTTATGAGATGCACCTAAATTTAGATATTTATAATTTTTGCTTATTTTTATAATGTGATGTCACTGTGAGTGTGTCGATCCACAGAAAACTTTGTTGTGAAATCATGTCCTAAAATTGCATCCTTAAGATGAGGAATATTTAAGTGGTATGAGGTTTACTGCAACAGGAAGGGTAAAGTGTTTTTTTTTTTTTTTGTAAAATGTTAATAGTTTAGTAAGAAATAAAAGCGTTTTCCAAATTTGATCAAAATATGTTCATAAACAAGCAAACTACAACAGTTAACTTACTTAAATGCTCCATAAGAATAACATGGAAATTTTAAATTTACAATTTTTTGGAATTTTCTCCGTAACCTTTAGGCGCATAATAACGCTTCAATATAATAAATTATGTGTTTCTTTTAAGCTCTACAGCTGCTTTTGTTTGTGTTTTTTTTAGCTAATTTAGAAAGAAATTAGGCTAGTAAATTTCATGTTTTTTTGGGTCAAAATAGGAAAAACCAAATTTTACCCCATAAAACCGCCCATTAACCTCCGACCCCATAGCCCGATCATGCTAGTTCCGAACTCGTTTGAATAAATGTAGAATTACACGTTCATTCCAAATTTCATCAAAATCGGATCATTTTTGCTCAAGTTATCATGTTAACGGACACAATATATATATATTCATATATATTTATTAATATTCATATATATTTATTAATATTCATATATATATATATATATATATACATATGAATTTGAACGGATGGTGTTTTTGGCCTCTAGGGATCTCAAAACAAAAAAGAAAATCGGTCCCGGTTCCATGTCTTACCATAAGTACTACGGTAATAGCATATTCCCTCGATAAAAAACATTACCTTAACAAATATAATACACTGGCTAATTTATTCATTGGCTTATCAAAATAATTCTTCAAAGCCATTGGTCCCAGGTCCTAGTTTGATGAGACCTTCAGTAATAGATTATTCATCATTCCCTATATGGGAAATTCACTATAATGATAATATTTAAGAAAAAAACTTTTATCTTATCAGCATTGTTAAGTGCTTTGAGCTTAATAATTTTGGTAGTTTAGTAAATTCGGTTGAAAGACAATTAAAACTCATTCTCAAGATAGAAAATTTGAATTTATTTTTATTGTTTATTATGAAGAAAAGAGTTTGATGTACAGCTGTGAGTCTAACATCTTCACCTCCACAGAAACCAGATGACCAAGACATACATTGTTAATTGGTAATCAAACCACTGAAGCGTGACTAACATGAGAGTGAGGATAATAAGGAAACTAGAATCTGTTGTGCTATGAAACGCTTTGCATTTGACCTTGTATGTTTTAAACTTCTGAAAACAATAGTAAGAGGGAAAATATTCTCCATTTTAATAAATGATTTTTTTAAATGTTGGTGATTTAAAATATCACGTCACTCTGATTTATTTAATATCTATTATTTGGACAGTGTATTTAACTATTTATGGACAAGAAATTTATTTTAAATTGGTAGCTAAGTGTTCACCACATTACCTAAAGAGTGAATATCTTCAAACGCAAGACAAAACAAGTAATGTTTCAGGTCACAGTCAAAATTAGAATGTTAAGGCCGGACGCACACAGATCAAGCATTTCACCTGAAGCAAGTGTTGCGAGGCAAAATGTTTCGCTGGGTACGAGCACCCCATGTATTTCAATGGGACGCCGCACACTGATCAAGCAAACGTTGCGAGGCGCCTCGCAACGCCTTGAAACATTTGAGCAGTTGCTCGACGAACGGAGCCCATACAGCACGATGTTTGATGTTTCAAGGAGCAAAACGTTCTGCGCATGCGCCAAATCCTTTCTAGCTAGTAAAGCTTAGTGGCTTTCAAAATTCAATTGACCGTTTGTTGATTAAAAAATAACTCTTCTTTGAAAAATGACTTTAGAAGTTGCGTTAAAACTTAACAATTATATTTTGAATTTATATTGAACAATACTGCTGTTTAATTTTTCTTGCTACCATTTTGGTAGTCATGCAAAGTAGTAAAATAATTTAGAAATTACCAAGGTTACTCAGTTCATTAATCATTACCTATTTATATAACTCATTATCACGACACTATCTAATAATAATTTCTTACGGTATTTAAAACCCTTTCTATAAAATAGTATAGCATTTATTCGACAATGATTGTAAAATTTCCCTGGATCTGATTTAATTCCTGAGAGTAAAGCTGTCTTTCCACAGATTGATTGGGTGAACCCAATGTTGTCTTTCTATTTAATCCAGCATTTTGCAAAAACTGACATACAGCAATAGTAAACTTCCTCGTCACATATGATAAAACAATACTGCAGTATAAGACCAGTAGACATAATATGTAATTCTAATATTTATTTTTCTTAATTTTGCTTGAAACCAAATGCTGAATCATGCTTGAACACTGGAGAAGCAGTTAAACAAAACGCTTCTCAAGCTAATCGTTGTGCAACATTTTGAAACACTTGAACCACTTGCACACTGGAGAAGCAAATAAACAAAATGCTTCTCAAGCTAATCGTTGTGCAACATTTTGCTTCAGGTGAAATGCTGGATCAGTGTGCGCCCAGCCTAAACAACCAAAAGCAACAACTACCTATCAACCTGCATGAATATATCACTCTTACTTGGGTTTCAATTATGATAGATTTTTTAGTAGAAGTTTATGTTAAGTATTTTTGTTAATGCTGTAAACAGACATCTTATATCATTGTAAAATATTCAGCTTGTTTTGGATAAATGTTTCATGTATGGTAAGGCTTGAAGGTATTGATGTTGATTTAGGTTTATTACGCTATACGAATTTGTTGGGGTAAATTTCTTTAGTCTGAGCATTCATTTACAATACCATAGAAAAACCAGGAAGTGACAAATAAATTAGTTTACTTAGCCATGACACTTGTAAGTAAGTAGGCCTAAGATAATCTATAAATAGATACAAGGCATCAACAAACTCAACCATTACTTGACATGAAGATATAATAAATAGTCTTCAGCTGGTCCATAAGGCTGATAAATCCAATCTACAAAGATGACTGTAAAGGGTGTGAAATAAGAGCCCAAGGGCAAAGGTTCTAAAGTCCTTTCATGTAAGGCTGCTGTCCTCACAAACATCCCTATAAGAAAGAAGTTTAATCTACGGTTCCATCAACATCAAAAGACAGAGGGAAAAGAAACAACTGGATTAGAACAACAGTATAATAAGTTGTGCAAATTTAACAGCACTTAGCACCCTGTATATAAAATTAAAAAGAAGAAAACAAATTGTAAGCTTTGGCTTTTTAAATGCATAGATTACTTCAGTCCGATCGATGCTGCTAGGGCTTCGACTTTGGCAATGTAAGCTTTTTTTGCTTCGTCTTGGCTCATCCCCTTCTTACCACTCCAGGCGTCCCATTTGTAGCGGCCCTTCTGGTCAAAGATACCAGGTCGGTCTGGAAAAACAGTCACAGATTTATTAAGGCATAAAAATAATTAGATAAGGGGCGTTAGAATTAAAGGGACTTCCTAAGAACTAAAAATTATTATTGTATTACAAAAAGCTCAATAGACTAAGCAGTGAATCTAAATATTTACAGAAATCTAAAATCAATGATAGAAAATTTATACAAAAGTGATTGTTCATTGATTATGAAGTCCATAATTATCCTCCTAGAATTAAAAGTAGCAGAGATAATCATGGTCATATCATACTTTATTGCCATTCAGGAAAATACGACTCTGCAATAGACAGTGTGTAAAGTAGTCTAGAAGAATGTTTTTCTTCTATCAAATTTTAACTCAACATCCTACAGGTTCTGAAAATATAACAGAAACATAATTGTGTAGGCCTAGTTAAAATCTTTGCCCAGGTTCTTTCATTACCGTATCCTAAACTAGGCGGCGCAGTGACATAAAGCAGTGATTCCTAACCTTTTTAACTGTAAGGACCACCTATTGTGAAAATGAAACTTTGAGGCCCACTAACTAAATACATAAAAAAATCAATAAAACTCGTAACGGATAAGGAGTACTGTTTGTATGTACAGTAGAACCTCTTTAATCCGAACTAATTGGGACCAGGGGTAGTTCAGACTATTGAATAGTTCGGAATACAGAACATATTGTTGTTTTTACATAACAATAGCTAAAACATAGCTAAAATTTATCAAAATTATTTTGGGAAAAGTGAAAAAATGTTTTATAAAGTAAAATACAGTGTTTATTTAATACAGTAGTAAATATGGTGAATAAACAGTACTGTAAATTAAATACAGTATACAATAAAGAACTGCTATACTGTGTATAAGTTAGTGTACAGCAATGAGGGGTTCGGATTAGTGGACGTTCGGATTACGGGGGTTCGGATTAAAGAGGTTCTACTGTATATTATAACCAATATACCCTATGATGTGTAACTCTTAGTAAAATATATAGACAAGTATTAAACAAACAACAATTTTAACAATTCATAGATAAAAGAACTTAATTTTTTTACTTTGTTACAAACCCTTAAAAACAAGTGTTCAAAGCAAAAATAAAAAACCTAATGGGACTTTTGACATTGTTCGTCACCTACGAGGGAGTCAATATCGTGATTGAAGAAAGCTCATAAGACACTCTAGTATTTAGTTTATCCTGTTTTGTAGTTTTTCCATGGTGGAACTAGTCATATAAAAACTCTACATCAATCAATCAAAAGAATCATATCAAAAGAATTCCTACATATTCAGGACAGAAATAAAGTTATAAAGTTAAACCATTGAAGAATACAATTGAATAGTTCACATTCCAGTGACTTGAATGTTTTTATTGTTACCATCTCTATTCTAATTCTTCTTCTCTATTACTCACCAGTACAACAGTCACCAGTTGTGGCTTGTTTGTACAGACCGTAGATCTCAAGCAGATCATCCTGTGGGGGAGTCTCCTTCAAATTGTTCACGTCCTTCGCAGCTTTGTCAAATTGCTGAAAGCCATCAAATCATGAGAAACAGTAGCCTATAGGGAGGGGAAACATTTAACTAAGTTATGGTTCGAGCTTAATTCTGAGTTATGCAGTGAAATACTGAAATGGCATCTTGTGGTCCTTCTGATTAGATCAAAACTTCTGAAGTTTTGATCCACCTATTGTAACACTTAAACAGTATTTTACAAGAAGTCGCTGTTGTACTGATGTAATTATACTTATTTATTCCTATTCCAACACTTTTTAATATATCTACAGTTGGATAAGTTGATTTGAGAATTTTAGTGGAAAAACTGTAACTGTCTTTGCTGGGTAACTCTTTTGAAGCAAACTTAATTCATTAAATGCACTGACATTGAATGTGAACAAACAGTGCAACCCAGAAATGTATAAATACCTAAAAGCATTTTATCTGGCTAATTATATTCTTTAAATTACTAACAAATTGGTATTCTACTAAGATTGAGATTGTATATAATTACGCCCTATAAATCAAGTATTAAATCAACTCATGATAAATAACAAATATTTTTTGAAAAAGTATTAATTTTATACGAAGAGTAAAAACTGAATATTTGTTCAACTTTAGATACCTAATACAGTAGGTTATACTGGTTATACCAACTTTGTTCTTGAAATAATGATGTTTATTCCTGAAAAATTACACAGATATGAAAAGTATTGTAATTCTAATCACAATTACCAGTAATCGTTCAATGACATGATACGGCAATGACTTACTGGGTATCTTTATTTATTTATTTTTATTTATTTATTATCATCACATTACATCAATGATTGACAGGTGATTTGTCATCCAACTAAAATCTACTAGTGGCTTGTAGGGACATAAGTCCCTAAAAAGCTCAAATGTAAAACAACTTTTTGCAATACCGGTATTTAAACAAACTCAGAATAACATTATCTATGTGTCAGAATAGGCATCCCTCCCTACACCATATCTTTTGTGTAAAAACCAGTTTATTGTTCTTCTTTGTTTGCTTTTGTTGATGTCATTTTCAATCAATAATTTGAATCACTCCAGTGGTTTAACATGAAAAGGCAGCAAACATATCATTGTTTGAGAATAAATACTGGTTTACTAAGGTAGCTTTGGTCTTGTGGTTAATGAGGACAAATAAAAGCTTCCCTGTTTGGAATTTTAAAAATTCATTGGAGGTTCGCCTTCAGATGAATTGAAGACGCCTGCAATTTCATCTGCAGTAGGCTTATTATACCTACGACGATCCATATTTATCCTGTCTACAAACCTAAGTTCTAATTCACTGTCACCTTGTACAACCATTTCTTCCGAAGCTCTTTTGTAAATTTGTGCAAATGGATTTTCTAATAGAATTTTAGCTAGTTTTGACAATATTTCAGGTTTTAAGTCACTATTTTCTCGACGCCTTTGACGAATTTCTGTTGCTGTTGATGTGTCAATAATGTACAATTGGCCTTACACGGGGTCTTCATCATGTTGAGGCAGAAAATCTGAGATTGAACGATAAATCTGTCCTTGAATTTTGAAACAGTATGGTCCTTTTCCTGGAATATCTTTCTTACTGGCTGAAAAATAAGCAAAAGCCATCGCACTGTTGCATTGTCGAATGAATTTATACAGTTGTGGGCTCTCTTCAAACAAACTGTTAAGTTCTACATTAGTTTTTGACTGAGGAAGGTTAATAAGTCCGTTATGGCAACATGTCATAAAATGATTATTCGTTAGTTCTTCTCTAAAATGAAGAGCACTACATTGAATGCACTCTTGGTCCAGTAATCCTGCATCATGGATATTTACATTTCTCTCGTCTACCATGGGTCTCCTAAAAAGGGGTTGTAACATATCTTGATTAAGTTCGTCATTATCTACTATTGCTCTCCTACGCGCACTGTCATTCCTATGAACAGTTCCACGCCTTTGTGGTATTCCCCTGGCGTTCATATTAATTACAGTACTTATAATGAAAAGAATATATATCCAGCAGCTTACATACCAAAACATCTTGAATCCCTGGTGATTTTATGATCGAATATGATTACTCTACGTTGTATATTCACTGCACTAAAAAATTTACTTACGAAGGAATGCAAATACACCATTTTAGAACCAATAACATTTATAGGTTATTTTAGTTGTATATATTTACACAACCTTAACCTTAAAATGTGTAGAAATATAAAGAAAACAACATCATTTAAAATAAACTTGAACATATGATTTAAAAATAAAAACAAAACAGAAGTTAGATTTAATTTCGACTCTTTGATTATTTATACAGAATATTTATTCTATTTCGTTTATTCCTTTAACACGACAATAACGTAAAAGCATGAAGAAATGAAACTTGAGTATATGATTTAAATATAAACAAAGAATGCAGACGTTTTTCCGACTAATCTTCAATATTTCAGTTTTATTATAGTATACATTTCATAGTTGACTGGCTAAAAGGAAACCAAATGCGTGAATTGATCACTGTTTTCAAATCTGTGGCACAGCTGTTTTAATTTCAAAATATGTAAACAAATTAAACCCCATGTTGTTTTAATGGGAAAAGTTTTATTCTGTTGCGAATTCATGGTAAGAAAAATGAATAGTTTTCCCTCAAAATTCACGTCAAGACCTTTAAAATAAGACCCCTCCCATCCTTCTACGGCCATCCAGTCACTCACAATTTCATTACAAAAATTTGACTTACGGAATTATATACCGTACCTATATAGATTGTAACAAAACAACAATCATAATATTGAATACTTAAAAATAATTATACATTTGTTAGGAAATCTTCCAGTGAAAAATTGCCTTCTCCAGAAGCCAAAGCTTAAGTGTTTTTTTTTATTTCAATATGCAATCAATTTCTTTTATTGTTGAAGGCAGCTTATTAAAAATGTTGGGTCCCATATATTGTGGGGATAAATGAAATACATTTTTGTTTGTATTTTTTTGTCAGCCCGGTGACTAAATGTATATTTTCATTTTCTAATGTTAATGTCAACAATGTTAATGTTCAACAATGTCTGTGTTTTATTGAATAAGTCCCTAGTAAAACTATTAAACAAATCATGTCTTAAATAATGGTTTATTATGCCTATGTATGTTTAAAAGGTAAGAGAAAATAAAATTAAGTTGTATTTTATTTGAAAAAGAAAAGGTTAAAAATGTTATTTAGATTATAAGGTTATCGAGTGACCTTGACATAAAGATAGATGCAAGTTGTAATTCCCAATATTAAGGTACTATATTTTCTGTACAATTATTTTCTGTTGTCAACCTCATAGTCAATAGATAATAAGGTGTCTGTTTTTTTTACTTTCTCATACATAGGATATGAGGAAAGAATTGTTTTCGTCAAAATTTTTGAGTTTGAGTTTTAAGTGGATATCTATTTTGGGTCCCTCTGAACCCAAAAAAGTGGTTTTTAAAGTGATGTCTGTGTGTGTGGATGTGTAAAGAGCTACAGACCACACCTACTAATATGGTATGTAGGTATCTCCAGGCGTTTCTTTAATTTTTTTTAAATTTTGATTTTTATTGGGGATTTTCCCATGAAAACTCATAAAATAACGGAAAAATCAGATTTGTTCAAAAACGGCCCGAACAATTTTGTTAGAAAAATTAGTATGTTATAGTCCTTTAATTTCTGAACAAAATGGTAGTAATTCCATTTCCGTAAAAATGACGGTTCCAAAGTTGTTTTAACTTATGTTATTTTCCCATAAAACCCAAAAAAAAGAAAAAAAAAAAGAAAAAAGCATTTTAGATAAAAGTCAGTTTTTTATTAAAAGTAAGTATGTAAGTAAGTATGTATGTGTGGTCCTTAATATTTGGAACAAAATGGTACAAATTCCATTTCCGTAAAAATGACAGTTCCAAAGTTATTGTAACTTGTTATTATCCCATAAAAACACCATAAAAAGCTGGTTACTCTCACCGCTTAAAGGTTTTTGGCAAACTTATGGGAGAAAGTATGTGTCAGATTGCTGATACCATTTATTTTGTATTGTTATTGTTTCATCCACTGTTTCAATTTGCAACAACCAAAACTGTACAATCAATGTAAATTTAAACTTTACATTGAAGGCTTAACCTAAAAAACGGTATAAGTTTTGCGTTCCTAACACGTTCGCTGCTGACCGCTAGATGCCGGGATGGCGCCAGGAGCTGAACTAACGCTCGCCACTGCGTAAACATTGCTGCCGATACACTGAATTACAGTAAAAACAACAGTAGTTATACTGGATGGCAATGTTCTGCAATAAAACTGGCTTTGAACATATTACTAAGTAATTCTGATAGATAGCAGCACTACCCAGGTTGCAGTCGGTAAAGTAGTGTCGCTATCTAGCAGGAAAGAGGTGGGATAAAGCCCTGTTCTAAACGACCCTGGTGGTGATTTTGGGAAACTATATATTTTATTGTCAGAAACGTACGTCCCCACGAGCTGCAAAGAAATATAGTAGGCCCACCCTCGTGACGAGCTGGCTGATCTATGGTAACGTTAAACAACAATGAACGGTGACGTTCCGGAACGTCCGTAGCAGCGAACGTAACTGTATTAAAGACATATCCAATGTCTGTTTTAATTAAGAAAATAATTAGTCTTTGTAGAGTAGCATAAATAACGTCAAAACACGAGTGAAAGCGGGTCTACATATTCTCGACTATGTTCGAGTAACTGTACCTAATTAAAGTGCTTGATAAATGCCGCACTACAAACATATGTTACCATTAAATACGTAATGACTCACTGTCTACTCTTGTTGGCTTTGTTTAAACGTGGCAATTAAAAAACTTGTTACTTTATGGGAGTTATAAAATATTTTGTCTTCAAATGTTTTATTTGTTAAAACTTAGGTGAGGGCAGATTTTTTAAATGCACCTAACTTAAACACCAAGTCATAAGATAAGTACGGTACCTAATAAAATAATGATTAAATATTTAAATTGAATTAAATCCTTGGATGGAATAATACTAAGCCTCTGAACGATAGGTTTTAACAAATAATCCAGAAATCTCAAAGAGATTGTTGTTCAACTTTCACCAATCATACCAAACTTGAATCTTGCTCTTGCAGGAAAACAACCGGTGTTTTGATGTCCTTGTATAAAAATAGCTAACAGATAATAACAGTACATCCAAGGAAACATCTTAGTCTATTTGTTTGTCCATTTAAACTGATTGACTAACATTTCTCAAAAACAGCTCAAAGGTTTTGATTCAAATGTTCATAGTTATAACATAACCACTTTTTACTCCAAACAAAAACCTAACCACCCACATGTCTGTGAAAATGGCAGTCCAGAAATAATAATCCTACAGAGGTTAGTAAAATAATGTGCAATACGCCAGCACTGCTCCATCCAGCGAACACATAACAAAATAGAAGCGCTACTCGCAGCGCAGGAGCGTGGCAGTCTTACTAGCCGGCGAAACGGACAAAGATGGCGGCGCTAGCCTACCTGTCGGGGAAATAAATATGTGCACTCGAGTTTGAGCCTAAATATCTCAGAGATGAATAATCCAATTTTGTTGAAACAAAAACTAAATATAAGCTGGTTTAAATACATTTTACGTAATAGCAATAAAAACAATCCGTTTACCAGAAAAATTTATATTGTTGAAAGATCCTAAAAAGTACCGGGTTTTAAGAAACTCTGCACTAACACTGAAGTTTAAAATTTAATTGTAAACAAACCACTGAGCCAATCGGCCTGCCAGTTGCGTGGTAAATTTTTGTTTACAAATATATATCTGTTTAAAAAACACCTTTGTTCGCATTATTAATCTGTCATATTGGTGTTATTTCTTGTGTCACGACAAACACGATGATATTTTGAACGAAATTTTTAGTGTCTTATGAACGATGTTAGCATACGATTTAAAAATAAACATCAGCATAAAAACTATCGTGAGTAAAAATTTTAAAATGCATGGAACTGTTAACAATAAATATACCAATAAGCCATACAAATTTCAGAAAGATTGACTTAGTAGTTTGTTTACGATTAAGTTTTAAACTTCAGTGTTAGTGCAGAGTTTCTTAAAAACCGGTACTTTTTAGAATCTTTCAACTATAAAAAAATTTCTGGTAAACGGATTTTTTTTAAATTGTTACCACGTCAAATGTATTTAAACCAGTTTATATTTAATTTTTGTCTCAACAAAATCGGATAATTAATCTCAAGAGATATTTAGGCTCAAACTCAAGCACATATTTATTTCCCCGACAGTAGTCCCAGCATGTGCAGCGCGCTAGTCGCAGGCTAGAGATATGTATATCTCTAGCCCTGCGCTAGTCGTCTGCTATGCTTGATGAGAATAGTGTAGATATAAAGTTAATGATATTAGTGTAAAGGAAAGCAATGTAGCCTAATTGAGGACTTGACGAACAAAGTAGCCTACTTGGACAATGTGCAGGAGTAAATTTGTTTCCAAATAGTACACATTTCTCAGGATATGAAACAATATGGACAAAAATAATTTTTGTTTAGTACCTAATTAAAATTATTGCTCAAAAATATTTCAATGTTAGAGTTCGCTACTACTGTAAAATATTTAACAAAAGTCTTCACAAAAATAATATCAGGCAACATCTCAATAAAACTGTAATTTTTCTGGGACAATAAATTGAGTGTAATTTTAAAAATATAATTGGGAAGTTTAATTTAACTTACAGAATTATCTTTAGTTTATCTTGGATGATATTGAAAGCTAATTAGTCCTTAAACAGATGTGCTAAACGGTTAAAAATTCTTCATAGGCAATATATTTGAAAATTTCTTAGAATATATTTGAAAATGTATAGACGACGGCCCGGCGGCGCAGCGGGCGTGGCACGGAGCAGCGGCAATGGATCCCTTTTGTACCTGATTTTTTTTAGAAAACCGAACATGATAAAATTTTTTGGTGAATCGGATAGTTAAATTTGGTTATTTATCCACAACTTTCCCGCTGACGAAATGTCTCTGACCAAAAAAGAAAAAATTTTCTCGCAATACAACTTTTTCATGTCTGAATCTGAAAAACTAAACTACATAAGTATTAAACATATTTATAACTAAATTACTATCATAACTAATAATTTTATATTAACACCATCGTTTTCCTCAGTATTATATCTACAAGTGTGCAAAATTTCAGAATTTTTTGTCAACTATTAATGTTTTTTATGATCGTGTATTTGTCGCGGGGTTTTTAATTAGAACTGAGTTCGCGGGTCTTGGATTCAGGCTGTATGACGGACCAAGATGGCGGATTTGGCCACACTTTCAGTGCATTTGGTTAAACGCCGTGTCCTCTCTATTATTATTATTATTATTATGTGCTCGCTGGCTCCATCCCATGTTATCATAGGATTTTAAAACAAAAATGTTCAAAAATCTATATATTAGGCAAGCATGTTTCTTTAAAACCTTTTTTTTCTCAGCTTGTGTGCATCACAGCGAAATTCTACGCATACTGTTCCTGTAGATGTGCAGAATCCCTTTAAAAATTAAATAGGCTCAAATATAAGCACAAAAAAATAATTTTAAATTTAAAAAACTAACATGGGCTTTATTGGTTGCCATGCTGGGGACAAAATAACAACAAAATATAGACATAAAATCAAAACAAATGGAAGAAATTACAATCACATGTTTTATTTACAGCGTGGGGTGAAAATAGAGAAGGCTGTACCTTTGACTTACAACTAGACATTCCCTCTCCATGTTAAAGTTCTCGTCAGTTTTTAAATTAAATCCGTCGTGGTTGATGTGAGCAATCAAAAGATTGCGCTGATCTAAATGACAAATTTCTGTCAAATACACGATGTTAGTATCAATTCAAACTTATGGAATGACTTAGGCTGCGTTTACATTGAAGGCACGCTTGGCTAAGCTTGCCCTTTGAAACAAAATTGTAGCAGATTACTGTAAACCGGTGACGACTTGTCTAGTCATGGTTACAGTGCTCGCCACTAGCAAGCGCACGCTGGGACAAGCTTGCGCTTCTCAAATCTCGAAACAAATAAATTTGTTTTTGAAGCAAGCGTGCCTCAGTTTGCTGTGGTTCACTGACGAAGTAGCATAGGTTGTGGATCTGAAAACTGTTGTTTTTTTTATATTTTTGTGTTGTTATAAGTTGTTTAATTATTCAAAATGGATACCGGGGCGTTGATTGATACAGCGCTTTTTTATAACTATTTTACAGTTACAGCATTATCATAGCTGTACGCTATTTGCAAATGAATTTTAACTTGTTAATCAAAATATATTGAATTTTATTTTTCTATCAAAATAGACCTGTAATAATGCTATGATGAAAAAATTAAGCTCCTCTAGGCTTATTAAAATTATACTGCTTTAGTCGGTATAGTTGTTTTTTTATAAAATAACTAATTATACAAACATTACATCTACTTCTACAGTTTTCCGTTCCCCCAACACGTTCGGAGTCTAATAATACAAATTTAACTCAATTTTCAAACACAATGTCCGCATCATCTGACATCTCAATTTTGACTGATCTGTGATGTAGGCCTACTGTGACTAGTGGGGACGACCACTTGTTCTTGGTTGCTCTGCTCTAGTATAACCACACTATCGGCAACTGCACGCTTGCACAAGCGTGCGCCACCATTTAACTTGCCCAAGCGTGCTTCCAATAGGTAAACGCAGCCTTATTATGAGCTATAGCAACTGTTCTGACCCATCAACATTGTCAGCAACAAAAAAATGTAGAAAATAATTTTAGACACACATTCTGTGACTGGCTCACACAACTAGGTTTTTTTATAAAAAATATAATGGCAACAGCTGGTCCATATAAATGGGATTTCTACTTCTCTCTTCTCTCTTGAGAACTTACTTTCTCAATAGTCAATATGTGTAAATTACATATTTTTGGTCGAGTTTTTGACCACTGAACGACCACTAGTTGTTATTAGGCCTATTGCTCAAAATAAGGCTGAATAGGATTATATGGAAAGAGTTAGAAACTATTAGAAAGTATGTAAGTATGTGTATTCTCCCTCAAATACCAGCAAACCATCACACAGTTATATTATGATTCATATAAGTAGTTACCTATATTTTATATGATGTTATGTCTATTAACATGTTGACAAGGTTTTGTAGAAAGCTGACAAAGATAAGCCTAGATATAGCCTAACATCAAATTTAAAATAATCCTTAAAAAAATAAATCCAATCAATTACGACTCAACTGATAACAATTAAAAAGCTTGGATGTAGCTGTTTTTAAAGCATCAATTACACAAAATTGCTTGATTAAGCTCATCCAGAAATTTAGTCAGCAAATTAAAAGTGAAATAAAATAAAATTTGACCTAAAGTATTGAATTAAATTACTAAAGAGCGTAGTATTAGGCCTATACAATGTAGAAGCAGATAAAATATTATTTATACCCTCCCAAGTTGCAAGTAGGCCTTTAAGTAAAATTGGATCAAGAGGAACAATTCCTCAACAAGTTGAGAAATTTTGGAAGAAATTCAATTTGGAAAATCAAATGCTAGTCTATATTTAATATCTTTAACAGCCATAAAATTTTCTATTAATATTATAAGAAACCACCTATATAACAATTATCATAATTAGGTTTAAACAAACTTGCAAAATTTAATGTATTATTCTTTGTTCTACAGCAGACTACAATGTGTAGTAAGATTTCAATTTTTGTAGGCCTACAGTTAGTAATATATTAATTAGACTATTACATAATGTAGAAAACACATTTTAGTAGGCTACTTAAAAAGATAATAGTTACCTCAGAAAGTGACATGTTGTTCTGTGCTTGTTAGGAAACCTGGAAAAAGATCAGATATTATAAGACTTTGGTTCACAGGTAAAAGGGTAACTACAGTAGTCTAATCGTAGAGCGTACAGCACAACATATATAAGATGGGTCCTTCAAGGGAAAAGGCTTCTGCAACCATGACCTTGAGTCATCCAATGCCCATTAATTAGGGTATAATCCTAATTGCTACACATTGCTAAACCATTGTTTGTTTTTAAGTTAAATGCACAGCCGCAAAAACCTCAGGTTACCTTGATTTGATCATTTCCATAGGCCTTTCTCTAAAACTGTTTAATGGGCTCTGACAGTCATCAAACTGTTTTTATAAGGCAATTCACAAAAATATTGTGTTACAGGCTGAACAATTTAAAATGAATAGTCATTGGCTTTGTTCCACTATCTATAAATTAGCATCTATATAATTAATACGCTACATGAAACTTTGTCGGTTGAACTCCTCCGCCATTTCTTAACCGATTTTATCCATTGGCGTCTCATTGGAAAGAGCGTGTCGCGTAGATTTGCAAACTGACCTTACATTTTTGAAAAAGTCCCTTGGGCTCTGCCCCAGTGGCTGTTAAAGTTCCCATGTTATCCTTATGAAGAACATAATTGTTTACATTTTGATCAGCTGTATAATTTAATTGCTGTTATTTATTTTTCAATTCAAAGTCTTTTAAACTCATCGGAAATTATGATGACTTTTATTTGTTTTTAAATAACTACTTTACTTCTTTGCAATTGCTCGATTTCCAGCAACGTGTTTACTAGTTGACTATTATTAGATAAGCTATAGGCCTACAGTTGAACTTCGATCACAAGACCCTCAATAACAAGTCACCCTTGATAGCAAGTGTCAGCTTCTTATCCCCTTGAATTTATTTTACTCATAATCACATGTTATTATAAACCTTGATAAGAAGTCAACCTTGATAGCAAGTCTTATTTTATAATCCCCTTAAGAGTCTTGTTATCAAAGTTCTACTGAATTATAATTTCTAGTGTTTTTTTTTTTTTTTTTTTTTTTTTTTGCCAGTACACCATAACTTCCTTAATTATTTGTCAATTTTCATAAATCAGGCGTCATTTTAAAGCTCTTTTTACCCACTACATTGAAAAAATAAACAAATCACTCATTTTTCAGTAATTTTAGGTAAAATCGATCTATTTTACGATTCTGCAAATAATTAAGTGTTTATTTACGTTAATTGATCAGCTGAAACATGTCAATTAGCCTAAATTAATCAAAACAAACGAATATTTACTTCTAAAATCCAAGTAATTTGTCTATATACTTCATCCATGACGACCAACAGAGGCTAGAATCTGTGCTTTCTATGATAAATAACCCCCGGGGATAAAATCAGATTATTCGAACTTTTAAGAAGTCTAGGTACTTTGGTATTATCCAGAGGCCACTCTTATACAGTGCACTGTGGCGGTTATGTTACGTTGGGTTATCAATGGAAAGAGCATAGCCTACTTTAATTGACTTAGTGTCCAAATTTGACATGATTACAATTAGCGGCCTTTGAGTTCTGCCTCCCAGAAGGCAGCGATGTCGGCGGGGATAGAGTTGAAAGCGTTGCCGCCTCTACTCTAGCTGCCACACTAGATACAGGCGATGACAGGTGATGCGCGCACCCCGGTCAACGACCGCACCTTGGCCTACTTGGAGGGGATATGGGAGGCAAAAGTATGACTCATGGTATTGTTTGATTCATATTGAAACGAGGTAAGTCCTACAAACATATTTTATGATAACCCAACCTAACATAACCGCCGCAGTGCGCTGTATTAGGGTGGCCTCCGGATAATACCTGAAGTACTTACCAAAGTCTAAACAAGAACAACTCAAAAGTAAGTACCGCATGATGGATTCTTTAGCTTTTTAGGGGTATATGTATATCTTTAGGCCTATTTACAACATAGCCTTCATTTCGACATAACCAACCATCCTATGTATATTCTAGAATTCCATCTTCAAACATCACCTCTTATCTTTTCTTTGGTTTATGTTGTGCAGGAAACGGTTTAGGTCTAGGCTTATATCAGTTTTATTCGGATCTTTACCAAGGAAAGTAGAACGCTCTGTTGTATCCATATTACAGTTTTTAACACTCATTAAACCCTTTAGGCGTACGTCACCTCATAAACCCATGCTGAAAACTCTATTACAGTAACTTATCAAGTAAATGAAATACATAAGCAGGGTCCAAGAGTGGTTGTTAGTAAGCTCACTTGGGCACCTACACTAGGCTATCAAGCGGAGTTAGCTGACTTAGGTCAAAAAGCCATTGTAGGGCCTACACAATAGTCTGTAATCCTTTCAAACTGACTTAGAAGGAATTTCTTTTAAAAGTTACCTTTGCCATGACTTTAAATAGCTTTTAAGGCACTTTGGACAGACGCTGGCGCAGTGGGGGATCTAGAGGGGGGCGACCGCCCCCCCTCAGGCATACATATATATATTTTTTTACTGCATGTTATACAGTAACGCATACACATTGTGTAAAATAATTTGTCACACTAACTTTGGACAAAGAAATGGTACCTATAAAAACTGCCATTTTTGAGACTTTAGCTTAGGCTACACACATTTTTTGGTGGGGTGCCCCCAAACCCCCCTGAGCCCAATGTTCGCCCCCCCCCCCCTTGTGACTGTTCTATATCCACCACTGTGCTAACAAAGGAAGGATTGCGCAGTCCCAGCCACGTAAGGAGAGAAAAGGTCCATGTACACCCCAGTCAGGCCTAATCCGCTGTTGTCAAAAACATAGCTATTGTTGTGAAGCCGAGGGGGAGCGCTACCACATCCCAGCGGTCATTGCTATAGCCTCCTTTAAATTCTTAGAAATAAATAGGCCCAGTACAAATTCTATAAGTTACATTATGTGTGCGTAGTATCACTCCGCTCCTTGTTTCTTGGCACGTGATGTGCCTTAAGAAAGTAGTTCTGTAGCTTTATAATTGAAATTTGCAGCGCTTTCAAAAATGTTTGTAAGGTACCTATTTTATCGTTTAATAGGGTTTAGGAAAAGTTTAAAAGAAAAGTGTAGGGGAAGTTCAGAAATACGGTACCTGAATTTCAGTAGGCTGACTCCTACAGGTTTTGAAGTTTTGATAGGCTTTGTTGGGCCTAAGATTTCAAGCTTCTAGAGATGAACAATTCGATAAATATTAGGCTACTGCTTTGCAGTCTCAACTAAATGAGCTGAATGTTAAAACACCTTCGGGTTGTATCCAGTCTCCACACTCCAGACACGTCCACACAAAAGTTTTGCATCCGCAAGAGTGAGTTTTTTTACAACTATCCGCAGTACTATCCTGGATAAGAATATTAGTCCAATTTGATAGTAACAAGGAAAAAATGTGGTTCGGAATCCACTATAAAATGTAGGTCCCTTACTTCACAGAAAACATAGGCCTATTACTATAACCCAGAATGCCAACCGCACATGGTAAAAAGCGTTAAGTCTTTTGAGAGAGCTTTGCCTGTCAATTCGTAGGCAGCGCCACCAGCGTTGCTATGCTGAGTGCATGGCAACGCTGGTGGCGCTGCCTACGGATTGACAGGCAAAGCTCTCTCAAAACACTTAGGCTACCTAATGCTTTTTACCATGCGGTTGGCATTCTGGGTTATAGTACCTAGTATGTTTTCTGTGCTTACTTGCCATTGGCTGTATGGGCTGAGTTATTAATTAACAGCTGTGTCTAAGGAACATATCGGTCATAGTCACTAACACGACTACAAGATCGAGCCACTCATCCTTCACTCATATTTGGGTTTCTTTGTACACGTTAGTTAATTAGTGGCGTCTCCATCTTAAATAATTGATAGCCTATCTTGTCTCCGTGTTTCCCATTTGTACAGGAAACAGAAAACTGCTGCACTTTAGCCTACTTTACGTTCTACACTCATTGGAATGAAAGTATCGATTATTCGATATATATTATTTTGTTAGGATAGGTTAGGTTAACCTTACCTAGCTAACCAAATATCGAATAATCAATCCATCGATCGATATTTTCATTCCAAATGAGTGTTAAAAACATTAAAAACACGGGAATTCGCCTGCCGACAGTCGGTTAACATTCGGTCAATTAAGTATCTGGAGACATCGCTGGAAATGGTGGTACTAGCGGAGACAGTGGGCCGACAATGTTTGCTGAGACAAATCAACCATGTGTGGACTAGGGTTTAAGCCTACCATGAGACCCACTAGCCTAGGCCTACTTAGCTTATGGGAAATTCGTTAACTGGTCAAACATCCAAACTAAAGTAAAAATTCAAGTTCCCTAATTTATCAGGCCTAAGTTAAGTTAAATTATGTTATTAAGTTAGGTATAAATGTAGGTCTAATTTGGCTAAACTCACCAGTCCAAGAAAATGTTGAAATGTGCGATCCTGTGTCTGCTGTCTGTACTCTGTAGTGACTAGTCACTCACTGGTGAGTGGTGACTTGGTCTAGTGAGTGGTAGATAGATAATACTTGCCGAGTGCCAAGAGAGAACAGATATTTAATTAAACCGAATCGTCCTCTTCGGTTCTCACTAGCGTCACGTCACAACTCACAAGTTCACAACTCGCAACTAGAGACCAATGGCCAATGGGAATGGGATGGATTGATAACAAAATTTCCAATAGGCATTAGGCAATAACAAACAAACAAACTTCGGACAACTTAACTTGACAATTTACTTACAACTTACAACACAACAAAACAAACTTAATCCCTGTTCACAAACTTTGGTCCCTTCCCTGCTTTCCGACCGGAACCGACTGACTTCCGAAAATATCGCACTCTTGTAATCGCAGTTGTGGATTGTATCGCAAAAATTATCGAATATCTGAATGCTGCCACGGCCGCCTACTTGGTATTTACTCAGGTAGTGGTGGGAATCACCGAATGAAAATAACCGAATCAATCGGTTATTGATGCTGAATAGACTAATTCGGTTATTTTATACTGGTTCGGTTAAATTAGTCTTACCGTGCGATTCGGTGATTTAGTTATTTAGTTGATTTAGTTTGTCACATCATCAGGTAACTAAAATTTATTCGGCGATTCGTTCGACTAAAAATCGCCGATTGACGCTGAAAGACTAAATGCCATTCAGTTTCCCATAGGATAAAAATTAGTTGTGGTTTGTGATAGTGAATAATGACTAAAATTGATTCGGTGATTCATTCAACTAAAAATAACCGATTGACGCAAAAAATAACTGATTGATTATTCGGTCATGGAAACCATTCGGTTATCCCATCACTATACTCAGGGGAGGTATAAAAGAGGCTACGATGACAGCTGAGGCACAGACAATTGAGGGCTTCTTGTTAGCTGAGGGAACGCCATTACCGTAACACTAACAATACGATCTGTAGCCATCGGCCTCGGTGGTCTAGTGGTTAGCGTGCCGTGTTGATATAATGAAGGTCCCGGGTTCGAATCCCGCTGGTAGCATTAACTTTTTGTCCAAGATTTTTTAATTATCAGCAAGTTTGGTTGGTTTGGTTCGGTTATGACAGTTTAATTTTAGCGAATTTCCCTATAGGGAAGTAGCTATTACCGTAGGTGGCATGGTAAGACCTAGGTGCGGGACCGATTTACTTTTTCATTTTGATGTCCCCAGAGGCCAAAAACACCATTCGTTCAAATTTTTATATATGTATATATATATATATATATATATATATATATAGGTATACTTTTGTGCCCACCCGGTTTGGCAGTCAGTGCGCTGGTAATTTACTCGGTGTGGCAGTCACCCGCCCGAAAGCCAGTCAGCTCTCCCATAAGCCAGTCAGGTATGGCTTCCCGTGCACTTTATACGTATGAAAACAGCAAACCGGTGCTGCTGCCTGTGTCGATAAGCGTAACTGCAATACCAATGCGGAGACTGTCTCATCGTGTGTTCTATCGTGGAGTAGTGTAGCCAGTACGGCACCCTACCCTACTTTGTAGCGGTAAAACCCAGCGGTCTGTAACCTTCGTTTACTCCTTGTTACTATTTGTGTTGGGATAGTGATTAACTACGTGTTAATGTTTAAACATGTTCATACTCCAAATAAATATGATGCACCTCTAATAAGGATCGTTGAATATTAATTAATTATAATTGGTTGAATCTTGATCCTACCCGTTCATCATCTCATATTTTAAGTTATTTTGATTTTTTTTACCTTCAGTTGAAATTTTAGTCAACTTCTCCTTTATACAATATTTTTATCCTAGTATTTACAGTGTTTCCACGGACCGGGAACTATACGGATTTTCTTTATCTCGAGAAATATACGTGAATCTTGTCCGAGATACTGGAACTGTTTTTTACGCAATTGCGTAACGTGAAGGAGTAACTATTACATATGACAACGATATTATTCTATCTGATAAGAATAACCATGAAACTACACTCGAAAGATAAAATATTTTTATAATAATTTCAATTTTACAAACAAACTATTACAGGAATTATATTTTGGGACGGATGAATGATAAGGAAGCAACAAAAAGTGGTCACGAGTGCAAATACGGGGGGGGGGGAGGGGGGTACAATATAACGAACGCCAGAAACGATTATTTGTTTACTTTTCAGATTCCTTATCAAATCTCTCTCTCTATCTCTCTCTCTCTCTCTCGCTCTCTAACAATGTACAGATTGTGGACTTTACTATTTAAGTTTTCCTGCAATTATTTCAGTTCAATCCCATACCTATCCTTATGGTTTCCTATCTATTATTTTTCAAAATAAATAGTAAAGCAGGTTAAACTATTTTTTATTTTATTTTCTTGAAACCAAACACTCTTTACCATCCGGTATTCTGCAGAGTCAAATGTTTAACACTGTGTTTATAAAAATTGAATGGCCACACAATTTTGTGTTTTATTTTTTTTTACTAATAGTAACTGGGATATTTATATATACCAATAAGTGCTGCAAGCTGTAATAAATGCTGCTGATTAATATCAAAATAAGTTATAATTTATTTTGTATAATACATCGGTCATTGAATACAAACCATATAATGGGTTTTCTATTTGTAACTTTAACTTGCAAATACAGTAGAACCTCGCTTAACTGGAGTCGCATCATCATGATGCCTATATATTATATAACCTCACAAATCCCAAGAAAATGTTTTATTAACTGTGTTTTTCAGTCTTATATTTCGATATGAACGATATATTTAACTATTTACGGTAATTTTTATGTGCAGTAGGTTCCCAATTATTGAAATATTACAGTTCATTTAACAAAAATAAGATGGAAGCAAAACGGAGAAATATCGATCAGTATCGTCAAGGTCAACCTATACGCTCGCACCTACAGACTGACAATCTTGCACTGACACTGACATACTGACAATCGTCTGCTTCTGTCTGCTGTCACAACACTACAATATTTTGTGGTTGGGTCGTTGGGTGATTAGTAACCATGACAACTTGTGGATGTAGAGAAACCAAAGAAAGAATAGAACAAAGAGAAATAATAAGAGGTGTTTTACATCATTTTTATCTTATTTTTATCATTGTTATTATTACCAGAAAGACTTAAGTACAGTACTATGATTTTATGGTGTTTTATGAGTTATTTAATATTTTTATCCCCATACTTCTGTTCTGAAACATCATGTAGTAGTAGCCTAGGATGACTACGGTATCAGTAGTCTTCTAGTCTACATTTTCATTTTGTTTTGTTCTTTACGTGATTTATTGCTGTACAGTAAGCAAGTTTTGTTTTGTTTGAGTAAGCATACGGTGTAGTTTTTATTAGTAAACCAAGGTTAATGACTTAACATATCACGGTTGCGCAATACCTATTGTATTTTGACTATGTAAAATGCAAATTTATAATCACGTTAACGTCCATTTATATAGTGTCCCGGAACGGCATTGTTCCTGAGTAAGAAACATATAAATATCATATTTAAACTATCCAGAAGTCCTTAGTTACTCACACGGGAAAAAAGTTTTAGGCCTAAATCATTTGAAACCTGTACATTACATATTTTTGGTCGAGTTTTCGACCACTAGTTAAAGTTAATTGTATTACAACAATCTTTATAGTAAGCAATATAAGCTTGAATCGGACTTATCTGCCTTCAGCTAATCCATCATATGATAGTACGTTAGAGAGTATGCCCATGCTGAAGTTTTACTTATACTTGAAGAATGACTTAATTTAGTACCAAGAAATAAATCACACCCCTTACATACACTGTGCTGTTTTAATGCTGTGTAGTTGATTGCTACTGTATTAACCTGTGATCGCATATTAATTCATTCATTAGGAACGTATTTAAAAAAATACTACTTTTATTTTTTTTATTTCTATGATTTATTTACAATAACAGAAATGTGTAAGATTATAATAAATTAATGTGTTGCATTGTCCATTTAAAGTTACATCATAGTAAATTAAAATTCCACTGAAACTTAAACAATAAAAGCCGAAATTAGTTATAAAGAAAACACGAGTTTCCTTTATATTGCTTTTACAATCGAAATATACATACTGAGCCACGGCTCGGTCCCCCGGTACTTTTCATTTTAAATATTCAAATAAAGTCGATTATTTTTAATGTTTTATGAAACGTGACATAGCAAATTTCCACGGAACTTTTTTTGTCGGCTACTACTTTATTTTATTTTTTGGTCAGGTTAGTTTAAAAACAGTGGATTCTGTATACAAAAAGTGAAATGTTCTAAATCATATATTTTTTTTTTTTTTGGCTTATGTACGTAATTTAAATTGTACGAGAGGGGCTTCCCACCGTGCCGGATTGCGCCGTGCGGGCATATTTTGATCCAGTGGCGGGTGTTTGGTGTTTTGAATAAGAATACTGAATTGCTCGTTTTAAGATCGTATCATTACAAATCCTATCATTTTAAGATTTGCTTACACTTACGAGAAATGCATTTTCCATTTGTACATTTCTCAGGTACAAATTTTATGAAATAACGTACATTATTGCGTTGTTTGACAAGTAGCTGGGGACCAAGCTTTGTTCGGGAAACTTTACACTTTGAGAGTGTTCCTTGGTCAATGTAATGCTATCCCAAAAATAATAATTTGCGGTATTTTTTTTTCTTGACATTTAACTTCTATTCAAATAATAATATCATAGTTTACTGAAATGATGAGATAGAAGAGTTTTTAAAAATTTGTTTGGTTCCCCTAAATGGCCGAAACTATTGAAATTGCCCAGTATTTTTCACGCTGAATTCAAAGAAGGCTATTAGTAGTATGAAAATCTTCCCACCTTCCTTCCTTTGAAGTATTAGTCACTGCAAGAACTTGGACTCGCTCCAAAACCAGAACCGAAACGTTTAATTTACCCTCAATTTTTAAAATGTAATAAGTTACAATTTTCTGGAAACTCAGGACACTTTCTGACTGAAAATAATTACGGTTGATCCTTGTTGGTGAGTACCAAAAAGGAACCTTAGGTATAAACATGGTTGTATATCCAAGTTTGGTTGTCCTTGATATTGCACTATTTCATTGACACTGACAAATTAGGGCTAGGCTGCACTATAAGTTAATTGGAAGTTTATTTGATATCTAGTCCTAAGCTTATAGCCATCTTAAGGCAAACATAACCAAAACCTAACCACAGACATATAAATATAAGTGATATAAATATAAACACTCATCCTCTGTAGGCCTAAACAGCTACCTATCTATATTTTTTTG